TTGTTGTCACAGTACTCCAGATATGGTTCCACCAGTACCTTGTACAGATATAGTAAAATATGCACTATATATACAGCTCTAAGTGTGTTCCAGTAACTTCGTTAAACTGCAAACTCCTTCTTACGGTTTGCTTGGTTTAAAGCAGTTCCTTTTCACATTTTTAGTCCACAGACCAAAAAAAAAGTGGTCTTTTACAATGTTCTCACATATCTGCAGCCTTTACCCTTCTTGGCAGTGGAGACCATGGGTTTATATGGTGTCACCTAAGGAATGCAAGTTGTAGTGTGGAGATATGGATAGCGGTTGTGAGACTCCCATATTCTTTCCACCACATGACTGACCTGGTCTGACCATGTGCCACTGGTGTGTGCTGGAAGGACTCATAAGTTGATAGCTAAGCTGCTTGGCTACATTATGAATGCACCTTTCTTGGCCACCCAGTATTAGCAGGAGACTTGAACTAAGAGCTTCTGGTTCAGAGAGCAGTATTAACAGGATTAGTTTTTATTGATAATAATAGCAGTGCTCAGGGGTGAAATGTACTGTTCTGTTTTACTTAGCTTTAGCTATCCAAAACTGCAACGTTCAGACATGACAAAGGAAATTGTGTTGTGATTAATATGAATAAATAAGTCTGAAGTGTTCTTGATTTATCACTGAACAGTCAATAACCTGCAGTTTCTTCACAGGAAACCTAACCTGCTGAAAATCTCTGTTGGCCTTGGCCTTGGATGAATAGAATTGTTAGTTGAGGCAGCAGTTTCCACAGTCAGAATCCTGGCCTTCATACTCATGGCAACCAGCTAAGATAATGAAGTGTCTCGTAGAAATCTTAGCAGGAAAGAGAAAACGTGTTATTGAGTAACATGTAGATGGGAAAGTCTGATCCAACCATAATCAAAGGCTTTTTAAGTAATTCCCATTGCATTATATACATGGAGGTATATTGAAATTATAAGTGCAACTAATTAACAAATAAACGTTAAGGAATTTTCTTGAATTCATTTAGGCAAATGGCTGTAGATAGTACAGAGAGGCTCCCAGCCCACCAGCAGGAGGGGAAATTGAAGGACGAATGGTATAAACACCAAGGACCAAATCACACATAATGAAGGGTATAAACAGATAACCTTGTGAAAGGCCATTGGAAAACAGACAGCATTGTAAGGGGGTAATTGCAAGACATTAGTTTGTCGTTATGACCTTGGGGAAATAATCGCAGCTTCACAAGATAACAAAGAATACCCACTCAAAATTTACAACCAAAGAGGAATATTATAGTAAGTTTAAGGTGGCAGGGTGAGATTTGATCCTTGACCTTGGGTTTACCAGAATCAGGTAGAAAAATATGAATATTGGAACACATTAGGTAAGCTTTATCGTTTGCTGCAGAGCAGTCAATTGCAACAACAATTCACATTTATATATAGGGTGTCCCCAACTTACGGGAGTCCGACTTACAAGTTCTAGTACTTACGGACGTGATGTCATACAGGGGTATATTTTTAAAGATCTGACTTACAAACAGCTGCTTTATATTGTCCGACATTGCAAATTCACCTGTAACTGACTCCAGAATGGAACCTGTTTGCAACCCAGGGACTGCCTGTGGTACCTTTCCTATAATAAAACATCTGAAGGTGATTCACGGAACGTAAATCAGACAAAAATGTGACACAAAATGACGTAAGGAGACAATAGGACAAGAAGGAGTAGGTTTTAAAGAAGAGAGTCGAGAGAGTCAAAGAGGGTTAAGGAGGGAATTCCAGAGCATGAGATCTTAGAAGCTGAAGGCCTGTTCACCAGTGGTGAAAGCACCATAATTGTGGAATGTTGAAGAGGTCAGAATTGGAGGAGATCAATGATCTCAGTTGGTTTTAGGGGTGGAAACAGAGATTTTGGAGGGTATGGGGAAGAGGGCGGTGGCAAAGTGTGCAGTTACTTGGGGACAAAAAAAAATTGAAAATTGAAGTATTAACAAACAGTATGTCACTAGTTTCCTTTGTTCCAGCAGCAGCCCATGCGTTCCAAACACTGTCAGTCATGTCAGCACTGTGTGCGTCGATATGACCATCACTGTCCTTGGATTGAAAACTGCGTGGGGGAAAGGAACCATCGCTTCTTTGTGCTGTACCTGATGCTGCAACTTGCTGTTCTGCTGTGGGCCTTCCACATTGCATGGTGAGAGTCTTTGCAAGCTTGTACAATGTGGGTTCAGTAAAATGGGTGAGAGAGACGCTGAGATATCACTGGCAATTCTTCCCATTTGACCCATTCAATTTTAATCATTCTGCATGGTCAGTATGAGGAGCTAAGTGCCAAATTAAAAAGCTGAACTCAAAGGTCATAATCTCTGCACTATTACCTGACCCACGTGCAAATTGGCATGGGGCAAATCAGATTAGAGTGATGAATGTGTGATTCAAAGACTGGTTTGGGAGAAGTGGGTTCTAGTTTGTGACGTACTGATACCAGGACTGTATCGATGAGATGGTTTCTACTTGAACCGTCCTGGGGCCAGTGTTCTTGCCAGACACGAGTAGGGAAATGGAGAGGATTTTAAACTGAGTAGTTAGGACAAGGAATTGAATTTGGGAAGATGTAGTAAATCACAAGAGTAGAGTCAACACCAAAGAGAAAAGTATTAATATGAGAAATGAGAAACAGCCCATGACAAGAAGGGACAGAGATATGAATCTAAAAGGCAACCAATAGATAAGACTAGAATTTATAACGATGGTAAAAGGACTAAACTAAAGGCTCTGTATCTTAATGCACAAAGCATTCAAAATAAAACAGATGAATGAGAGTGTAGAATGATATGGATTGGGACCTGAACCTTGAAAGGTAAGGACATTTAGGAATGACATGAAAGTAGGAAAAGGTAGAGGGGTTGATCCTGTTCATTAATGATTGGTATACACACAATAGAGAGGGATGATCCAAATTCAGGAAATCAAGATGAGGAGTTTGAGTAGAAGAGAGAATGAGAAAAGCAAACAGTCATTTATGGGAATGGTGTACAGGCAGCCTAACAGTAAGCACGTGCTAAGATGGGCATAAAGGAAGAAATAAGGACAGCTTGTCATAAAGGCACAGCGATAATCATGGGAGATTTTAATCTACATACATTTAATCTACATATTGACAAAATCTCAGATAGGCAAAGGTACCCTTTATGAAGAATTCAGAGAATGTTTTTGGGATAGTTTCTTAACAACAGTAACCATAGAGCAGGCTCTATGATATCTTGTATTGTGCAATGAGATAGGATTAATGAATGATCTTATACTGAAAATACTTATATGTAGAAGTGACCATATACAAAGAACAAACAAAGAATAATACAGCACAGGAAGAGGCTCTTCAGTCCACCAAGCCTGTGCTGATTCCTAGTCCTTGTTTGGACCTGCTACTTACTGCCCATACGCTGTTTCTATCCCTCTGTTCACCTCCTGTTTATGTCTATCAAGATACACTTTAAACATTGATAACATTACTGCTTCAACCACCTGCACTGGCAGTGTGTTCCAGGCACCCAGTACCCTCTGTCTAAAAACTGTTTTCAGCTCTTGTCCCCTAAATTTTCCCCCTCTCACCTTGAACCTATGTCCTCTTCTAGTCGACCTTTCCACCCTGGGAAAAAGCCTCTGATTATACACCCTTTCTATGCCTCTCATAATTTTGTAGACCTCTTTCAGGTCACCTCTCAGCCTCCATCTTTCCAGTGAAAACAATCCGAGTTTATCCCCCCCTCTCCTCATACCTAAAACTTCCAGACCAGGCAACATCCTGGTAAATCAGAGATTGCAAGAACTGCAGATGCTGGAGTCAGAGTCAACACAGTGTGGAGCTGGAGGAACACAGCAGGCCAGGCAGCATCAGAGGAGTAGGAGAGTCAATGTTTCGGGCCTGGATCCTTCATCAGAATGAAGGGTCCCAACGAAGGGTCCAGGCCCGAAACGTCAACTGTCCTGCTCCTCTGATGCTGCCTGGCCTGCTGTGTTCCTCCAGCTGCACACGGTGTTGGCTCCAACATCCAGGTAAACCTTCTCTGCAACTTCTCCAAAGCATCCACATCTTTCTGGTCATGTGATGACCAGAACTGCACGTAATATTCCAAATGTGGCCTCGCTAAAGTTTTATACAGCTATAACAAAACTTGTCAACTTTTATATTTGATGCCCTGGCCGATGAAGGTGAGCATGCAGTATGCCTTCTTGACCAGCTTATCCATCTGTTTTGCCACTTTCAGGGATGTGTGGACCTGTACGCCCAGATACCTCTGTATATCAATGCTCCTAAGGGTTCTGCTAATTATTGTATAATTCGCACCTGAATTTGATCTTCCAAAATATATCACCTCGCATTTGTCCAGATTAAACTCAACCTGCCATTTCTTTGTCCAAATCTGTGATCTATCTATATCCCACTGTGTCGTTTGACAATCCTCATCACAATCTGCAACTCCCCCAATTTTGGTGTCATCCACAGACTTGCTAATCAGACCATCTACATTTTCCTCAAGATCATTTATATGTATTACAATAAACAAAGGTCCCAGCACTGATCCTAGTGGACTACCACTAGTTACTGCACAGTGGCTCAGTAGTTAGCACTGCTACCTCACAGTGTCAAGGCCTCTGGGTTCGATTCCAGCGTTGGATGACTGCCTGTGTGGAGTTTGCACATTCTCCCCATGTCTGCATGGGTTTCCTCTGGGTGCTCCAGCTTCCTCCAGCAGTCCAAAGATGTGCAGGTTAGGTGGATTGACTATGCTAAATAGCCCGTAGTGTCCAGGGATGTGCAGACTAGGTGGACAAGTTATTGGAAATGCAGGGTTACAGGGATAGTGTCAGTGGAGATAAATTTGGATGGTTACACTCTTTGGAAGATCAGTGTGGACTTGATGAGCTGAATGGCCTGCTTCCACACTGTAGGGATTCTATGATTCTAAAATACTGATCTCCATTCCAAAAAGCACCCTTCTACAACTACTCTCTGTCTTCTATGACCGAACTATGACTGTATCCATCTAGCCAGCATGAGACTCTACCTTTTGTAGTACCCTGCCATGAAGTTACCTTACCAAAAGTCTTACTAAAGTCTATGTAAACAACATCCACTGCCCTTTCCTCATCAATCATTCTTGTCACCTCAAAAAAACTCCAAGTTGATAAGACTTGACCCTCCCTGAACAAACCCATGCTGCCTATCACTAACAAATCCATTCGCTTCCAAATATGAATAAATCCTGTCTATCAGTATCTTCTCCAACAGCTTCCCCACCACCGACATCAGGCTCACCTGCCTGTAATTACCTGGATTATCGCTGTTTCCCTTCTTAAACAAAGGAACAACGTTGGCCATTCTCCTGTCCTCTGGAACCTCACCTGAGGCCAACGAGGATGCAAAGATATCTATTAAGGTCCCAGCTATTTCCTCCGTTGTCTCCCACAGTATTCTGTAATAGATATCCATCTGGCCCTGGAGACTTGTCTACCTAATGCATTTCAAGACACCCAACACTTCCTCCTTTATTATATTGAGCTAACCAAGAGTATTCACACACCTTTCCCTAACCTCAACATTCCTCATGTCCCTCTCTTTAGTGAATATGAATGTAAAGTACTCATTAAGAATCTCATCCATTTCCTCTGGCTCCACACATGACCTCCCTCCTTTATCCTTGGGTCTACCCTTCCCTAGCCACCCCCTTGCCCTTAATATATGTATAAAATGCCTTGGGATTCTCCTTGACTCCGCTGGCCAAAGACAATTTCATGGCTCCTTTTAGTCCTCCTAACTCCCCATTTGAGCTCCTCCCTACTTTCTCTATATTCTTCAAGAAATTTGTCTATTTTTAGTTGCCTAGATCTTAGGTATGCTTCCTTTTTTGTTTGACTAAACTGATAATTTCCCCTGTCATTCAAAGTTCCCGAATCCTGCCATTCCTGTCTTTCATTTTCACAGGAACTTGCCTGTGCTGCACTGTAATCAACTGGTCTTTAAAAGACTTCCACATCAGATGTGGATTTACCCTCAAACAGCCACTCCCAATCCAGATTCTCCAATCCTTGCCTAATTCAATTATAGTTGGCCTTCCCCCAGTTTAATACCTTAATCTGAGGTCCAGTCTTGTCCTTATCGATAAGTATACAAAAACTGACGGAATTAATGATCCCCCACTGAAACCTTGATAACCCACGATGTGGTTAGCAAGAAATGTTAAAGTTAGTATTAAACTTGAAGAAACAAACATAATTGTGTAAAGAAAATTGGCAGGTCAAAAGACTACAAAATATTAAAAAAAGCAAAAGTGGCCAAAAAAAGGAGAGAGAGAGACAAAGTTAGCCAAAAATGTAAAAACAAGATGGTGAGAGTTTCTGTAAATATTTAAGAGTTAGCAAAGTGAATGTTGGTCCAATATAATGTGAGACTGGAGAATTCAGAATGAAAAATAAGGAAATGGTATTTTACATCTATCTTCACGACAGAGGATGCAAATAATGTTCCAAAAATAGCAAATATATGGAAATGGAAGGGAGGGAGGAACTTGGGAAAATCACCATCACCAGAGTACTGAGTAAATTATTGGAGCTACAGGCTGACAAGTACCTGGGTCCTAATGGATCTAATGGTTGTAAAAGAAGTGGTAGAGAGATAGTTGATGCATTGGTTTTAATTTTCTAAAATTCCCTAGATTTTGGGATAGTCCCATTAAATTGGAAGATAACATTAACGCCTTTATCCAAAAAGAGAGGGAGATAGAAAGCAGGTAACCACAAGCAATTAGCTTAACATCTGTCAATGCTAGAAGCTATTTTTAAACGTACAACAGGGCACTGTTATAACAGGTTCAATGAAATCAAGCAGAGTCAACATGGCTTTGATAAGGAAATCATTTTGACCAATCTTTTGGGGGTAATGTGCTGTAGATTAAGAGGAACTGAGATCTTTAGAAGCATTTGATAAGCTGCTACAAAGATTATTGCAGAAAATAAAAGCTGTGCAGGGTCAACATATTGGCATGGATAGACAATTGGCTGGCCATCTGGAAGCAGAAAGTAGGTGTAAATGAATCTTTTTCAAGTTGGCAATATGTAACAGTTTGTGTATCACAGGGGATCTGTACTGGGACCTCAACTTGATAAAAATGATTTGGATGAAGGGACAAATTTGCTGATGATGCAAAGACAGGTAGGAGCATAAGTTGTGAAGAGAATACAAGGACGTTACAGAAAGATATTGATACATTGAGTGGGAAAGATGCAGCAAATGGAGTATTATTTGGGAAATTGACTGTTTTGATAGGAAGAATAAAGCAGCAGCATAATATCTAAATGGTGAGAGATTGCAGAGTTCTGAGTAGGGCTTGAACTCACAACTACTTAACTTGGAGGAAAGGGTGGTAACCACTGAGACATGGTTTACACCTGTACAGTTCTTCAATGTTGTTGTATTTTTAGGTCAGGATTCCGTACTGAGACTGCATGGAAAGACTGGCTCCAAGTCAATCTGCTTCTCCTGTTGGCATTTATAGTCATTATCATTTTCACTGTGGTGGTGATGCTGCTACTGGTGTCACATTTGTACTTGGTATCCAACAACACCACAACGTGGGAGTTCATGTCTCGCCATCGCATCTCCTACCTGAAACATTGTGGCTCAGAGGAGAACCCATTCGACCAGGGCATCCTTGGGAATTTGTGGACATTTTTCTGCGTATGCAAGACAGTCGTATGGGAAAGGATTTATTTTCAGGATGAAGATGAGCTGGTGTAATGAGTGGCACATTTAAATAGATTTTTCTGTAATTTCTATTTTGTTGTTCTGCCTCACTGGGATGGTATTATTTATTGTGGGCAATGTCATAACATTGATGTTTTCTCCAACGTGTCAGGCTCAGAGATGGCGTGAGATAATTGAAGGCAAGAGCTAGGTGAATACTTTTTCCGTAGAATGTCCAGTATTCCACAACATAAAAAGGGAAAGTGGAATTATACACAACAGTGTGGAGCTGGATGAGCACAGCAGCCAAGGCAGCATCAGAGGAGCAGGAAAGTTTCAACCCTTCTCCTGACCTGAAACATCAACTTTCCTGATCCTTTGATGCTGCCTGGTCTGTTGTGCTCCTCCAGATCCACACTGTGTTGTCTCTGACTCCAGCATCTGCAGTTCTTGCTATCTCCAAAGGGGAACATAGGTTGCTCCCCGCCTCTCAAACGAAAATAAAGACAAGGATTACTGCCACTGGCTTCCAAGAGAAGAGGAGAAGGAGTGGGATGGAAAGAAGAGGAAATGTGATCCTTAAGGGGTTCTGAGAGAAAGCATTGAGATTGTGAAATCATCCTTTACTTATACTGGCAGCCTCTCCAAAGATTAAAAATGCACTGATTGCTCCTTTATCTAACAAAATGCACTTTAAATGTAGTCATTTTTGATACTTTAATAAAAATAGAAAAGAAAAATCCAAGTTAATCCTAAGGTCTGAAACATTTAACACTGGTTGGTAACAATTTAATGAACCATTTTGTTGTTCACTTGCCTGAAATGTTGACTTAAGCTGTATTGAATCAAATTTTCCTTCAAGAACACTGTTGTTACCTTAATGTGCTTAAAATTTAATGAACACCATTGATCACCAAACTTATTTTTAAATTATTTCAATTTCTATTAACCAGGTCTTAAAGTTTGTTTTCTGTAAAATTCCATTCTATTTTTAATCTAGTTGTACCAAGATCTATCAGATCACTTCACACAGGTGAATGTTTGTTATGTTCAGTTGTAAAGGTTAGAAATTGTTATATTTGAACTGCTGCAGAAGTCAGAAATAGGGACATGTCAGCTACAGTTCTAGGGAGTACTGTCCCAAGCCAGAAAGTTGCAGGTTTAAATATTACTCCAGAAACGTAATAAATCTCGGCTGAGGGAATGACGCTCCATCAGTGGAGCCATCTTTCAGAGAGGATATCGGCTGTCAGGTGGGTGTAAAAGATTGATACCATGGCACTGTTTCAAAGAGTTGGTGAGTTCATGCTGGTATCCTCAGCCACTATTTAATCCTTAACTGAGATCATACAGATTATCTGGTCAATATAACAGGACTGATTGTGGGGCTGTACTGCACCCAAACTGGTTGCCACATTACCTATATTACAACAGTAACTGCATTTCAAAAGTAGGTCTTTGTTCCAAAGTGTTCTATAAACATTCGGAGATTGCCATAGGCACTACTTTAATGCAAGTTAGTTTTAAAAATCTCACCCTTGCTGTTGTAAAAGAATGATTCTGGGGTTTGGGGAGTGGTGCAGTCAGTGTTCATGTTACATTAGCTCCACCCATTCTAATGGCACTAACGTTTGTGGGTTGAAATGAAGTTCCACTGTTCCTTTTGGAAGGAGCAGATACCTCCCAAAAAGGTCCTAGTAATTATATCTGACCAAATGTAGTTGTACTTATTGTTTATTGCAATCTTAGAATAGTGCCTCTTCAGCAGGTTCTTTATGGTGGTGTATCCACTACCACTAAGCACAAGCTTATCTTTCTTGGGGCCAAGAGGATAGCAGGCAGTGAATCATTCACACAACCCTTACCTAGCGCTATTTACAGGTAGAAGTGGCAAAAATACAAAATGTACCAGAAGTGGTTATCTGAGAAAATATGATTCCTAATTGAGAGAGAGAGAGAGAGAGCGCGTGAGGGGAAAAAAAAGGGAAGGACTCCCAGTGAAAATTGTTCTACATAGGAGGTACCTAATGCTCAGGATGACAATAACCTAAAGCACTAAAACTCCCCGAACCTCTGTCTGTAACCTCATTTCCTTTCAAAGGAGGATTTTAAAGACCTAACTCAATCCTGTATTAATATCTCCTTGTGGTTCAGTCAAATTTTGTCTGTTTATGCTCCAAACACCACCGTGGGGAGTTTTTAAATTTCTAAAAGCATTGTATAAATGCATGTTGTTGTACCATACAAAACACCAAGATCCTTTTGTGTTGTCCCTAATTTTGCCTTCCAGAACTCGGAGTCATGAACTGCTTAAAATCAATACATTTGCAGAGAAATGTTGCGTTCAATCTGCTATGCAAATGAATGGTTTGACATAGTTGAGAATGTCTGCATTGAAATTCAGAATAGTGCACTGCAATCAAGTAGAGTGGCTCCTTTGTTCTTAAATCCAAAAGGCATAAGATTAGAGAAAATTATTCAGTGCATTTCACCCATTAATGAGAAAGAAGAGATCACCCCTTAATTTCAATCCTATTAGTTAAGCAATGCTTTACTGGTAAGTCTTTGTTGAAATTCAAGCATGAATGAGCCTTTTTAAAACAAAAAAAAACCCTCCACATCCAAACCTGAAAGTAACAGTTGTGTCCGTCTACAATATAGACCGTGAAAAGTCAAGTACCAAATTGTTCAGATTTATTATTGATTCAAACACGAAGGTGATAGTTACTGCTTTCCTATGCAAACAGTTTTACTTAAAATTAAAAATGGCAAATGTGATTCAATTTAAACCAGCAGATCTCTCCCTTAGAGAAGACGACAGTCTAGGGTACAGATGAATGAGGCTTTTGATTAGTGGCTGAAAGAGGTGGTTAATTTCAACCATTTCATCTCTGCCTCTGGAGTAATGTATACAGTAATGGATAGACTTGAAATTTTAGGCAGTTTGGAAACATGCAAACATTTTATTCCAGGTTGAACAGTATGGCCCTAAATGTGAAGTCCCTTAATGCCCCCACTATATTTTAAACAAATTTTTAAAAATCCCAAGATATCTGTTATCTCTAAAGACCTCTTCCAAGACCAAGGAAAATAGAATAATGACAAAACACACATTATGTAATTAACAATAAAATTCAGTCCACAGAAGGGACAAATTTGGTAGATGATATGTACAGCAATCAATCTTTCTATTAAGGTATGGCAAAAAATACAATAAATCAGAATTGAGAACTAAATTAGCCTGTTGAATTTAAAGATAGAACAGGAAAGAGGGAACTTTATAGAAATGTAAATAAAACCTTATGTAGCAGTACAGAGCAGTGGATATTTTCAGAATGATATTTTTATAATAGTCTTAAAGTATGATTAAATTTCCTGAACTGATGGGTTGTATTCTTATTGAAATATTGCACATTTATTTTTGGACTGGAAGCTTTACTGTAGCTTTGTGCTGTCAACTAATATTCTGGAAAAGTATTGATTAAAAATCAAATCTTCATTGTAGTGGTTTTTGATTTATTTTCTTATCAGTTTTATTTATAAATACAGCTTATTGTAGCTTGCACAGCTCTCAATATTAACAAGAAGTTTGAGGAAATATAATTTTAATATAAATGCATTTTGAGCCAATCTATGTAGGAGCAGAGTTTGGACAGCTGGAAGAGATACCATGTGGTACAAACAGGAAGAAGTCATCAAAGATGGACCATTGATACACACTGAAGATGCATGCGAGAAGTTGTTGGCAGCATACCAAAGCTTGTGGCTAGGGGTGTCCAATACCCGTGATGAACTGTAGAGGAACATTTGGAAGATGGTGGGAGATCAGAGGTGTTAAGGATGATAACTCAAAATATGAAGTATGATATTTGCACTCTGATTGCATCTCCTGTTGCTGGGAATGGACAGTAACTATAGGTTTCTAAAACTAGGGCCGATTAAAATTATTTCATTTTAACAGAATGGAGATGGGAGCCACAAGTTCAATCTATATTTTGGGTTGCTGTTTTCCTGAGGAAAGCAACAAGTCTCAAATGTGTAGCTAGCCAACATGGTGGATGCTAACTTCAAGAGGGAATTGGACAAGTTCTTGGAATTGTGTAAAGATCACATGGTACAGAATGATCTTTATAGAGTTCTGTTTGACTTTCTCAAAAAATTGAAGCCAAAGCTACATTGTTCAGCATGTTCTTCCCTCTGTTGCCATTGGTGTTTCTGTAAAGAAACAATGGAGGAGTTGCTTGAAATCTATGGATTAACTGATACTCAGGAATGGACGGTTAATTCCCTTTATTTTACCGCAAATATATAATCATATAATACAAGACATAAATTACAATAAATATGAACAGTATTGTGCTTAAAAATTCCATAGTGTTTTTCCATATAAAACTAGTCTTAAATAACATACTTTATCTAAATATTTGCATAAATATCTATTTATATCGTTTTCCTTCATAAAGCAATACTTCTGATTCTTGGAATGACTTTAAGATCTGAGGAATCAAATAGTTCCACCTTGCCCATTCCTTGGACTAGAAGTGAGGCCACCTGTCTGCTTCCAAACCATTGCTCAGAGTATTTAGCAGTGACCCAAAACAAATTTGCTCCAGACATTTTTCTTCACTTCTTTGGGTAATATCTAGCTTTCTACATGCAGGAGATCAAGATCAGAAAAGCCAATATGGGGTAAGCTTTAGATCACATCCTTCTTTCATTCAGGGTCATTTAATATCAATACCACTATTAATTTTATAAATCTGTTTAATCGAATGCTCAGAAGTTATGAACCGAAGTGAAATAACTTAGAGGAAGATATTTGAAATGGATGTTTAAAGTTAAGTGCAGTATTTTAAAAAGGACTTGTATTCCCCCATAAATCCAAGGTATATGAACATACTCTGCAAGAGTAAGGCATACAAAAGTAACAAACTGAAGCTTAAACAAATAAACAAGCAATTCCTAGAATCAGTTGCATTTCTCCAGATATGGACTTAGCCTCTCTTCTCCCCCAGGTCAGGAAAAAGAAAGTCAGAGCAAACCTAGGCACACACCAAACTGTCCTTATATCATCCATTGAAATCAGTGCAATTGTCTCCAACCTGTCTTCTCTGCTCAGCAAGATAAGACAAGCAAACCAAAACTGCCATCACAAAAAGACCACTTGAATATATTCAGAGAGGTTCCAGAGTGAAAAAGATTTTTTTTTTTTTTATTAAAGAAAAAGCAGAAAAATATACTTCCAAGTCTGTAGGTGGGAATTGGAGGGAGGAAGTTAACAAAGCTCTTACAAATATTTAACGTCCACCTGGACAAAATAGCATATTTTATAACTGATCTTGAAGTTTTAGTGTGGTTACAACATCATAAAAAGTTCAAATTCTTTCAATTCACATCCAAATTTGCCCAAAATAATTGGTAATTTGGTCCAGTCCTCATTGCAAAGCACTATTAATAGAGACGGAAACATGGATGGAGCCAGTCTTGCTGCAGAAAGTTAAGTCCTGTATTTCGGATTGCAGAACAAAGACAATTGCAGCTGTTGAAGATCAATGGTTGAATGAGGCAGGAATGTTGAGGGGGTGGGGACAAAGGTACATACAACTTATTACTGCAAATATTTCCCAGATAGATTCAAAACTGTGGAAAAGTGCCTGTAGCAGGAATCTCCACTTACAATGGAATTTCTTTAAAACAGGAGGCCAGTGTTGGGATTACTTTTTTTAGACATCAACAATTTTGAATGTCTAAGTTAAAAAAAAAAACTTTGACCTAACAAACATATGAATTTAACATTGACTTGGTTCATTTATCACAATAAAAGTGCCTCAGTTACCTCGGGAGCCATACCTTCCCAACACTACTGTGCATAGTTAATTTCCAAAATGATGAACAATCTCATTATTTTGGTGTAATGATTAAAGTTCACACATTGATTATAGGATAAGAAAATAAAATGCATTCATAGAATGAAACTCAAGTCCAGTGTTCTGGTCACCTTGGAAATTACATGTTGAATAAAATATTCAGGTTACCATCAGTGAAGCACCAAACTTCTCAAAACTTTGTAGCCACAAGAGCTTCAATTCAACTTATAGTAAATAGTCAGCATTCTTAAGCTATGTCATGACAGTGCATTCAAATCCTATAGGTCAGTCACCTTGTTAAAAATCAACTACAGAGTCAAACCCTTCAAACATTGCCTGTTCCTGTGAAGTTAGTGGCTGGAAATCAGAAAATGGAGAAAGGATTGGTCTCTGGGATGTGAACTCGTCATCAAAGTTCTGGACATCAAATGGGCTCCTTATTTTTGGAATAAATGGTGGTATTGCTCTTCGAGCTAACAGGGCTTCCCAATCCATTTCCTGTGGAACAAAGTTATAAATCAAATTAGTACGTACAGGCAAAGAGTTAAAAATCAACAAATGAAAACTATGCAGGACAGCAAGCAAAGGCACCAAATTATACTCAAATGTACATCAAATATGTCTTTTTCACTAACCTTGAAAAACAGCTCCTTTTTCACATCTTCCGCATCCTGATCACCAGCCCCCAAGCGACATTCTGGATTCTTTCTCAGAAGCTGAACAAGGAGGGGGATAAAAGTGACATGAAACTCCTTAAATACTTACTTTTCACATAACTAACTTCTTCTGATAACCTCTACACAGATGGAGTTGTAACACTGTCAGACTGACCTTTCTTGTCACTGAAATAGCCTCAGTAGAAAGGAATCGTGGGTAGCAGACTTCATCATTGACAATGCTATCAAAAATCTCATCATCATCATCTCCTGGAAAGGGGCACTGTAAGTAACCGACAGCACAATCATTTTCCATATTCTAGTGAACAGGGTGGATGGACAAAATGCAATGGTAGGAGCTAATTAATGAAACAAATACTATAAACTTTATAATGCTTTCACTTTTATTACTACATGTTTAACTGCTGATGAGTTTAATTCATAAAATTATGCCAAAGAATAAAAATTTATTTTAAAATTCAGAACAAGTTAATTGCATAATAAATGGCTCAAGAATCACATTAGATAGCTAGAGTAGATCTACCTGCCTTCTTAAAATGTTGTTAAAATCTTTTAAATAGAAAATCACGTGATGTAGGGACAGACAAGGTCAGCATTTTCTGCTCATCCCCAATTTCCCTCAAGCTGATGGCAAGCATCTCCTTGAGCCACTGCAATCTAACATAGCTTGCTGAGGTAGTTCAATCAGAAACAGCTATCAAGTTCAGAGAACAACTAGCAATGCTGAAAGTCTGGGGTTACATATCAGATAGATTACGCAAAGGCAGCAGGTTTCATTCCCCAACTACTGAACCAAATTGACTTTTACAACAGTCCAGTAAGTTCTGGTACCAACTTTTAAATTGAAAATGTATTTTATTTCACTGAATTTACATTCCCCAGCTGTTATAATGGAACTATCATCTCTGGATTATTAGTCCAGTAATATAAACATTCTGTGACTGTATGCAATATTGACCAAATTTAGATTTATATTCTCCCAACTGTTCACTTGGCAAACAACCTGCAAGGGCAAGACACACACACACCCCTTGCCATTTTCTCTGTAGTGTCAGCTCCTCCCCATAGCTGAAATTCAAAACCATATCATAGGAAAATAAGAATATAAGAATTAGCAGGAATAGGCAAATCAGCCCCTTGAGCCTGCTCCACCATTTGATACTATTATGGCAGATCTCATCTCAGCCTCAACTCTACTTCACTGCCTATTCTCCATAACCCTTCAACCCATTTCTCATTAAAAGTCTATCTCCTCAATGCCCCAGTATCCACAGTACTGTGGGGTAGTAAATTCCACAGATTCACAACCCTTTGAAAGAAATAATTTCTCATTTCTTTTAAACCTGCTATCCCTTATCCAAAAATTATGATCTCTTGTTCTAGACTGCCCCACATGAGGGAGCATCCTCTTTATGGCAACTTTGTCAATTTCCTTTAGCATCTTATATACATCAAATTAGATCTCCTCTCATTCCTCTGGACACCGGAAAGTATAGGCCTAAACTACTCAATCTCTCTTCATAAGACAAACTCCTTATCTCTGGAATCAGTCCAGTGAACCTCCTCCAATACAACTACACCTCTCCTAAAGTAAGGGGATCAAATTGTAAGCAATACTCCACATGCGGTCTCACTTATGTCTTGTACAGTTGCAGCAACACTTCCCTGCTTTTCTCCTTTATTTCCTTAAAAATAAATGCCAAAATTCCATTTGCCTTCTTTATTAGCTACAGTACATGCATACTAATTTTGTGATTCATGCATAAGGATACCCTCTGCACCAGAGCTCTCTGAAGTCTCTCTCCATTTAGATAATGGGTTGCCTTTATACTCCTCCAACCAAAACAGATAACCTTGCACTTATCCCCAACTAAACTGCATCTGCCAAATTTTGGCCCATTCACCTAACCTACCCATATACATTTGTAAATTTCTTATTATGTCATTGAAGCACACTTTCCCATCTAGTGGTCCATCGCAGGCATTAACCTGCACAACACGCTGCTTTGAGAAACAAAGATCTCACCTCTCCCACCAGCATTTCATAAATAAGGACGCCCAGCCCCCACCAGTCAACAGCTCGCGTGTATGAGGTCTCAGTCAGCACCTCTGGAGCCAAGAACTCAGGAGTTCCACAAAATGTGTTTGTGTAATCGCCAGAACCCATTCCTGCAAATAGATGCACTTCAGTTAAGTGTATTAGAAAGAAACTAAGTCACACATATAGAAAATAACAGCCTAGGAGTCTCAGTCCTTGAAAGAGTTTAGTTCCTTCACCTTCAGTAGTATCAGTGATCAAAAGGTAGGGGATGTATTTCAGATTTCTGGGACATTGGAACCAGTTCTGGAGAACATGGGACCAGTACAAATTAGACAGATTACACCTGGGTAGCCATGATGTGGAGGTGCTGGTGTGGACTGGGGTAACTCGGCCAATGTCGTCTACCTCATACACTGTAAGCAAGACATGGTATATTGGTGAGAATATGCAGACGCTACGACAACAGACAAATGAACACCACGCAAATCGCCAGACAGAATGTTCCCTCCCAATTGGGGAACACTTCAGCAGTCAAGGACATTCGGCCTCCGATCTTTGGGTAAGCATCCTTAGAGATGCACAACAATGCAGAATTACCAAGCAAAAACTGACGGTCAAGTTCCGTAAGCATGAAGATGGCCTCAACCGTGATCTTGGGTTCCTGTTGAGCTACATGTGACCCCACCGCACTGTTCTGTATCTGTAAAATCTTCCTTACTGTTTTGTTTTGACACCATCACTTGATAGATACTTATGATCTACCTCAATTAGTTCATACTGTTATGGATTACTTATTACTTTGGTTAGACCCTTGGAATGAGACTCTTATACCTATCACATTATTCCAGTCATTTGGTTTGTCTCTAGCTCCACCCTATTTTTAAATTTTGTAATTATCTTTCTACCTCATTTAATTAGATTATAGGTCATCCCTTCACTTGTTATTCAGGTCGACACTTTACTCACACCATTTGACAGTCTTGATCACCTGCACTGACCTGTTAATCAGCTTGTCGACACTCCACTTTATACGATTTTGATCTCTCTGCCTGAGTGCTTCTCTCTCACTTCACCTGATAAAGGAAGCAACACTCCGAAAACTTGTGATTTTAAATAAACCTGTTGGACTATAACCTGGCGTCTTCTGACACCTGGGTAGGGCCTGGACTAATGTCCTAGAGGTAGTGTTTGCTCAGGTGGTTGGGGAGTCTTTAAACCAAATGGCAGGGAGATGGGAACCTACGCAAGGTGTCAGAGGAAGGTGGATCAAGGATAAGAGCAAAAGACAGACAGGGGATTTCTCTATCATTTTTCTTAATCAAGAGCTAGTATATAAAAAAAAAAAGGGACATGGTGAAAAAAAAGTGAACAGGACAAGTAATGTTACAAAGACCAGCCTTACGGCTTTGTGCTTTAATATGTGGAACATTTGCAATAAATTAGATGAATTCAAAGTGCAAATAGATGAAAACAGATATACAGTCAGGATTATAGACACAAGCGGGGTGACCAGGGATGGGAACTGAACATCCAGCGGGTATTCAATGTTTAGGAAGGACAGACAAAAAAAAGAAAAAACAAAAAGAAAGATGGTAGAGTTGTATTACTGGTTAAAGAAGAAATTATAGTGAGGAACCACAATAGTTTTGATGTGGAATCTATGGGTACAGCTGAGAAACACCATGGGGCAAAAAAAAATTAATGGGGTTGTATATAGACCAAATGGTAGGGCTGGCGTTGGAAATGACATTAAACAGGAAATTAGAGAAGTTTACAATAAAAGGTACATCAGTAATTATGGGTGACTTTAATCTGTATATATACTGGCCAAATCAAATTAGTAAGGAGGAGTTTTAGGAGTGTTTACAGGCTGGTTTTCTGGACCAGTGCTTTGGAGAAGCTAACTAAAGAACAGGCCACCTTCTGGGTATTGTGTAATAAGGAATAACTGGCAATCTAGTTGTGACGCCCCTTGGGGTGAGTGATGATTATAAGAAGAAGAATTCTTCATCAAGTTGGAGAGAGATGTAGTGGATTCTGAGACTATGGTTCTGACTCAAAGTAGGAGATGCAAATTGGATATGATAGTTTGGGAAATTTTGCTTAAGGGATGACAGTGGAAAAGTAATGGCAACCATTCAGAGCGCAAGGGTGAACTGCAACAATTGTTCATTCCTGTCTGGTGCAAAGGCAAAATGGGAAACCATTGATTACAAGGGAAATAAGAGATTGTATTAGCTCCAAGGATGAGGCATATAAAATCAGCCAGAATAAATCGAACTGGGATGCAGGAACAGTTTAGAATTCAGCAACGGACAAGAAAAATTGATTAAGAAAGACAAATTAGAGTATAAGAGTAAGCTTGTGGAGAACATAAAACTGACTGCATACCTATAGGAACTTATACAAAGAGAAAAAGATTGGTGATGACAAACGTTAAGTCCCTTACAGTCAGGAACAGGGGTATTTTTAATGGGGAACAAAGAAATAGCTGACCAACTAAATACATACTTGGCACTGTGATTACAAAGGAGAACACAAAAAACCCACAAAATGCTGTTTTAGCAACAGACAGGAATTGAAGCAAATCAGCATTTGTAGTGAAACTGTGTTGGGGAAATTAAAACAGGATTGAATGTTGATGAATCCCCAAAGCCTGATAATCTACATCCCACAATACTCACGGAAGTAGCCCTAGAAAAATAATGAATGCACCAGTGGTCATCTTCCAAGACTCTGGAACAGTTCCTATAGATTGGAGGGTAGCTAATATAACCCCTCCATTTAAAAAACAAGGTGGAGAGGAAACAGGGACTTACAGACCAGTCAATGTGATGTTGTTAGTGGGGAAAGTGCTAGAATCCATAATAAAAGATTTAATAGCAGAGCACATCAAAACCAGTGGAAGGATCATAGAGTCAAAATTGATTTATGAAAGGGAAATATGCTCGAGAAACCGCTGGAATTTGAGAATCTGTTGAGTTGATTGGGGGTGGGGGGTGGGGGGTGGGTGTTGCAACACAGTTGTTCATTTGGGCTTTCAAAAGGCTCTGGAAAAAATGGTTTACTAGACCAACTCCTGGGTGCAGGACTGGCGTATGAGGAAAGGTTGAGTCAGTTAGGATAGTCTTTGCTGGAGTTCAGAAGAATGGGGACATACAAGGGTATTAGGGTAAAAAAACTGAGGTGAAGAGAAATTTCTTCACGCAGAGGGAGTGGCTGAGCCTGTGGAATTTGCTACACAGAAACAATACCAAGGCCACAACATTGTATGATTTCAAGGAAACGTTGGATATAGCACTTGGGGCTAAAATGATCAAGTGATATGGAGGAAAAAGTGGGAACAGGCTTATGAGTTAGACGATCAAACATGATCATAATGAATGGCAGAGCAGGCTTGAAGGGCCTGTTCGTGCTCCAATTTTCTAAGTTTCTATGCTAAGACAATTTTTGTTAGACCCACTCTTTGATTCGGTCCTATCAGTCAGTGAATAGGACGACATGAACCACAGTTGCAACCTGCTGAGCATCTTACAAAAGCTCCCATGTATCATCCACGCTGTCCTCTTCAAACAGACCTCCTTTGGTAAAGAACGTCATTAACTCATAACAGTAAAAATTCAAAGTCAGCCTTTGGCTTAAGTCCATATCAACTTCATCTTTTTTCGCAGTTGACTTTCTTGATCCAATACCTTCCTGTAAGAAACATACACTTTCCTTCTCAAAAGATTCCCTTTTACTCTTTAGAGATTTGACTCTGACCGGGGGTGTGATTCTGCAACACTCTGGTACCTTACTCGTACATATTTCTTGTTTTAGAGCATAGACAGGTGAGTAATGCCTGGCTATTTAACTATGGAGGCACAGTGAGGCTCAATGCTCTTTCATTCAACATCGGTGTACTAACGCCTACCCAGCAGGACTCACTGACCAGAAGTGACCCATTGACTGATTTCTACTCAACCCTTCCAGATGCTAGAAGATAGTCACCAAGCTGGAAGTGGGTATCAATTAATGGAACATTCTCACTTAGCATGATGTAATACTTACACTGAGAAGTCCTCTATCCACTCCACAATGAGGGAAGCTAATGGACCATTATTCAGAATTAAAGAGAAAAAAAAACAAAAACAAAAGCAAACAAAACTAGGAATTCATAGGTGACCAGTATGTGTGGAAAGAACACTTTTTTGGGCTTCATACTTTTCATAAGAGCTTCACATTAAACAATGCATGATGTAACAGTTTGCTTACTTAATAGGAAACAAGGCATTTTACCTTCTTTACAGAGCCCAAAGTCACCAATTTTAATATAACCTTCAGCATCCATCAACAAATTGTCCAATTTCAGATCCCTGTGAAAGACAAGAGGTGAATACCTAGGCAGTTTCAGATCTACAGTTATGTTTATTGCAGTTAAAATGAAATAGTTACATAAATTACATACATTCTGGCAAGTCATCAGTCAGTCATTTCTTCAGAAGACATTTCCAGCAATACAGCATTTTGAAATTGTCTAAAATGCCAACACTGGTGAATTTTTAAAAACTAAAACACTGATGATCTGATAAAGTGTAGGCACAGTATACTACAATGGTCAGTAGAAGTAGGATGCAGATTCAAACTTGCAATCCATCCGCCTTCTCTTTGTCAGAAATTTCCCTCAAGCTCAACTTCAGCAAAAAGAATTAAATTTCCAGAGTTTTTCACACTTAGGATCGATATATCTTTGTGAAACTGCAGGAGTGGAACTGATGTTCCCTCCACTGCCCTTACTGTCAAGCCAGAATTCCAGCCCAGCAGAGACTTCCATCTAGTGGCTAGGATGGAAATTGCCAAGTTTCTCAAAAACAGCAAATAGCAGCCCTGGCTAGTATGTAAACTTCCAATCCTATGGAGAGTCTAGTGTTCTAATGAAGCATTTTTAAAGTTCAACTTTATACATACAAATTTTTCAAAATGATTGAAGAGTTAACAAGAGCAATGGTGAACTTAAAGCAGTTACCTGTAAACTATATCTTTCTGGTGTAGAAATTGCAATCCCAGGATAACACAAGCTGCATAAAATCTGGAAAGATACAAAATATCACCTAACTAATTCAAGTGAATTTGACTACATTGGTAAATGGACATAGTTGACAAATTCTTATCAAACCTATCTGCAATTAAGGCAGCATTGTTCTGGAAATTATTTAGAAGGAAGTCAAATTCAGTCTAAAAATTCCATTCTGCCATTTAACATGCTTTCAATGTATCATTTTAATTCCAATTTGTGTTTTAAAATTTGTCAGAGATGTAAGCATTGCTGGTTAGGCCATCATTTATCTCCCATCCCCAAATGCCCAAAGCACACCTAAAAGATAACCATAGTGCTGATAGTCTGGAGTCATATATAGGCCAGACCAGGTGAGGATGGCAGATTTCCTTCCCTAAAAAGGGGATCAGAGAATCAGTTTCTTTCCAAACAATCAACAATGGTTGTGTTCACCATGTTAGCAGAGCTTTTTATTGAATTCAAATTGTCACCAAATGCTAGGACTGGATTCATACACATATTCCTGGAACATTAGCCTGAAATTCTCGATTACTAGTCCGGTGACATTACCACTAGCCCCCCCGCCTTCCCAGCTAGTTTCCACATCACTTAATTCCAAGAGATTATGAATTTCAGTTTTAAATATGAAGTTATTCCACATCCAATATATTAAATTGAGTATTCCAGATTTTCACAGGCTTTTAACCGAACTTTTACATTTGAGTTTATTATTCCCTCGTTCTGGATTTTCATTCAATTATTCCCTTTCATTACCTTAAACACAATCAGATCACCTCCCCATCCCCGAATCTATCCTATTTAATTTATGCATGGGATGTGAACACCACTGGCAAGGCCAGCATTCATTGCCAATGCAGTGGTTGGTTCGCTCGCCAAGGTGGTTCATTGGTTCGCAGATGTTTCATTACCCTGCTGGGTAACATCATCAGTGCAGCCTCCGATGAAGCACTGTTGTGTTTTCCCGCCTGGTATTTAAACTCTGGGGTCCGTTGGATTTGATTACCTCATTTCAGGCTTTCCTTCACAGTGGTGTATAGACAGAGTCTAGCCCTATGTGTTTGTTGATGGCCTTCTTGGAGGAGAACCAGGCCTTCGGGAGTTCCTGCGCATGATGTGTGTTAGGGCGTGCTGTATCTTCCTGCTGTTGTTTGTGTGATAAGCATCATCAAACCCAGTTGTTTGGGTATCTGTTGTCCTTAAAATACTTGATGGACAGACATCGTCGGATCCAGTTGTTCTGATATCTGATGCCTATTACACAAACAACAGGAAGATACTGCGTGCCCTAACACACTCATCACGCTACCATACATTAAGAACATATCAGAACTGACCACAAGACTCCTACAACCATTGGGCATCACAGTAGCACACAAACTCATGCCAACTGCTAACTAGAACCAAAGACCCCTTACCCACTATGGACAGAACCAACGTAATATAAAAAATTCCATGCAAGGACTGCGACAAACATTACATTGGTCAGAAAGGAAGAAAATTGGCCACAAGAGTACATGAACACCAATTAGCAACAAAAAGACATGACCAATAGTCACTCATCTCCATTCACATGGATAAAGGAGAGCCACCAGTTTGATTAGGACAACACCAGGATCCTAGGACAGGCCAAACAGAGAGAAACACGGGAATTCCTAGAGGCCTAGTTCTCCACCAAGAAGGCCATCAACAAACACATATAGGGTCTGGTTCTATATACACATTACTGCGAAGGAAAACCGAAAATGAGGTAATCAAATCCAACGGACGTCAGAGTTTAAATACCAGGCAGGAAAACACAACAGCGCTTCATCAAAGGCTGCAACGAAACATCTGCAAACCAACGAACCAGCTTGACGAGCGAACCAACCACCAGATCCACAATCTGAGCTAAAAATCTACTCAAGAACTTAGAGATTCATTGCCTATATTGAAGTAGTAGTAAGTGCCTTCTAGAACCACTGCAGTCCATGTGCTGATGGTACCTCTTAAGAGTGCTTTGGTAAGGAACAGAACATACTAGTGTGAAACACAACTGAAGTGTACTTAGTGTTTAAAGGTAGCTACATCATTTCATCCCATTGTTTGTACAAAGTTTGCTTCTCTTCCCTCATTATAGCAAACACTCTTTGCTAGCTCTGGCTACTATTGATAAATGAATCACCTGATTAGTAACCAAGTATTGGACATTGTAGTTTTAGTTAAAATAAAACAAAAGGTGGTTGTTGTAGAATTGTAACACATAAGAATACAAAGGCAGGAGTTCAGGTAGGTACCAAAATATTTCTCTCATCAACAAGCTGCTGACAGCTGTAAAAAGTATGATTGTGTAATAATCCATTAAAGAGTGCTTTGGCACACTCTTGCCAGAAGTTGATAATTCTGTGATAAAGCTGTGCATTTGATAACAAATCACAACTAATTTCATTAATTTACTAAATCTTGTTAATGGATTTTTCTTAAATTAGAATTACCACTGATTGGGAATTGAGGTGCACAAGTTTGCCCAGTTGTAATATTAGGTGCGCCAGATTGCATTTTCTCATCTTTCCTTCTGGCTGCATGAATGTCATCTATTTTATACTCCCTTAAACCTGACTTTTTAAAAATTGCAATTCAACCAGGGTGTGGGCAGGTTTGTGCATTGCCCGTCCCTCATTGTCAGAACAAGAATGTGATTTTCAGCTTCTTCAGCTGATAATTAATGATTAGTTACACTGGAATAGGATTAGGGTCACATCAGATAGACGAGTACAGGCAGATTTTCTTTTTGAAGCAGAAACATTTGTGAATCAGTTGGGTCTTAGTCACAATCTGAAAGCTTCAATTTTATTGGTAAGCTTTTAAGATTAAAACAATTTGAATGCAAAGTGACTATTTAAAATCGTTCTGTGTTATTAGTCCAAGTCTCTGATTTGGAGGCACAAAAACAAAGTTGCTGGAAAAGCTCAGCAGGTCTGGCAGCATCTGTGAAGGAAAAAACAGAGTTAACGTTTTAAGTCCAATGACCCTTCCTCAGAACTGATGGTGGCTGGGAAAACGTCAGTATATATGCAGAAAAAAAGGGAGGGGGATAGGGTGTAAGCGATAAGATAGAGCCTAAAGAGAGAGAAGAGCAGTTGGACAGACAAAGAGTTGATAACAATCAGGCTGGGAGGGTGAATAGTTGTTGATGGGGACTATTAGAGACTAACAACAGGTGGTGTTGTAATGGCAGGCTATGTGGTAACAAGGCCTGGTATGTGGGGTAGGGGACTGGGGCATGGGAGAGTTTAGGCCCTAAAATTATTGAACTCAATATTGAGTCCGGAGGGCTGCAGGGTCCCCAAGTGGAAAATGAGGTGGTGTTCTTCCAACTTGCGTTGAGCTTCACTGGAACACTGCAGCAAGCTCCAATTTACAGAGTCCAGTAATGTAATTGCTACCCTACAGTATCCCCTTTTACCTGAATGATGGCTAGTCCATATCACAAATGCATTACATGGGATTGAATTCCACATTCTCATGGAGCACTTACCTAGCTTGGGGTTCAGAGAAGATATTGGAACGAATATGCATCATTAGGTCTCCTCCAGGTGCATACTCCATCACAAAACAAACGTGATTTGTTGTTTGAAAGCAGGCAAAAAGGTTCACAAGGAAAGGATGCTGCACAGAGCTAACTGTTTCAAAGATGCGCTTCTCACACATTAGGCTATAAATAGAAAGCATTTTTACCAGGGTTGAATTTTTTGAGTTCAGTAATCTTCACTTATGTACACATTTTAGGAAATCAAATAGCAATTTAATTTAATAATCTAATCATCAAATGATAATTATTATAAGAGGTCACCAAACTTCAGTGAATTTATTTCCATACACAAAATATACTGTGAAATGTTCACATTTAAAACTGTTAAAGCATTTCTCACACCTTTCACGTCTAGTTTGGGAAGAGTTTTGTTCACCCTCTTTGTAGTTATCAGAGTAGAGCTACAACACTGACATCTACCTGTTAATGTGGAAATTGTCCACATGTATCCTGTCCACAAAAAGCAGGACAAAACCAACCCAATAAATTCAATTTGCAGAGTAATGGAAGATCTTGTTGAAAGTGCTATGAAGTAACACCTAACCCAGAGTGATTGGTTTGTTGCGAAGTTATGCCAGAGTAGCTCAGGTCCAGATGATATTAAGGCTTTGGTCCAAATGTAGACAAAATTAGAGGTGACACTGCCCTCAACATCAAAGCAGCATCTGAGTAAGTATGCTTCAAGCAGTACTAGCCAAATTTTAGTCAATGGGATTTGGGAGCTAAATCTCCACTGTTGGAGTCATACCCATCACAAAAGGAAGTAGTTGTGGTTAGAGGACATCAGTTATCTCTGACCCAGGACATCACTGCAGGAGCTTTTGAAGGTAGTTTCCAGGTCCAACCTAGGTCAGAAGTTCACTGCTGATTGGTACTGAATAATTCAACATCATTTGCAATTCTTCAGATACTTAAGCAGCCAGGCGTCTGCATTCACCAAAACCTGGACAATATTCAGGATTGGGTTAATAAATATTTTCTAAATCAACCTGTTTAAAGATGTTCTAAACACGACTGTGCCTACCAGTCTAAAGGTGGGAGCAACACCCTTCAGCACAAGAGCCCAGCAAGCTTGGGCAAATACGTGGTGTGAATATTATTTGCCATTTAAGTGACAGCCAATGACTATCGCCAACAAGAGAATGTAACCGTCTCAATGATATTCAGTAGCAGTACCACTACTAAGTCCACATCAACACCCACAGAGATTATTATTGACCAGAAAAATTCTGGACTAACCATACAAAAACTGAAGCAACAAGAACATGACAAAGGCTGGGAATTATGCAGCAAGTAATTCATCTCTCAACTTCTTAAAGCCTTTTTACTATTTTAAAAAAGGCACGATTCAAGAAATGTAATGGAATGCTTTCCAATTGCCCGAGTGCAGCTCCACCAACACTCGAGGAGCTCAATCCAGATCAAAAGTAATCCAAAAATTGAGCAACCTCTACAACACGGTCAAATAGTGGCAACCAGTGTGTACTATCCACAAAATGCATTGTAACAAGGCTCCTTCAACCTCACCTTCTAAACTAATGACCTTTACCACCAAAAAGGGCAGCAGACACATGCAAACACCACCATCTGAAAAAGCTTCCCTGCAGGACGCACACAATCTGACTTCGAACTATATAATGCAGTTCCTTCACTGTTGCTGGGTCAAAATCCTCAAAAACCTTCCCCATCTGTACTGTGGGCATACTCTCACTATAATTAATAGAAGTTCAAGGTGGAGGTGAGCAACCACCTTCAAGACCAATTAGGAATGGGCAAGAAATGCTGGCTTGCCAACAATGTTTAAATGTCATGAATAAATATTTTTGCAGCTGCAGCGAATAAGACCACCATAAGCCAGAAACACCAACCCTACCCTCAATATCAGAAATCAATTCATCATGAAATGCTCAATATTGAGCATGTTAGCTGAAGCATGACGATGAGGCAGTCCATCTGCCTGGCCTCACTCATTCTTCTGATATTGTGTCTAGTTAAGCAGCTCTAGAATCCAAAGGCCAGGAGAAAACTCAATTTTTAATTGAGCCTCAAAAATTAATTACAGCTAGACACTGAAGTGATCAATGTGCTCAGATATTCCTTTTTATTCACACCTCCCTCCCTGTGGGGATAATTTTACACTACTCCATAGCTTTCCTACAATGGTACAGCAGAGAACTCTCAAGTGAGCAATTATTGCAAAGTTATTAGAACATGTGAATCAGTATCAGCTACGAATCAAGCAGTTTCAAGGGTTGTCTTAGGGTTAGTTTGAATACATTACCAATTATGACTGTCCTACACTAAAACCATTGTAGGAATTATTTTTAGTTAGAACTCCCCAAAGATATGCCACGATGGAGAAGGGGATAAACATCAAGATCCAGGAAGGGTGAACTTGTCCCATATTGGCACAGTTTATAGTCACAATGTAACTAACTTTCTGTATTACCTACTCACTCTACCAGGAGATCACTGGTTTATCAGGCAAATAACAGAAGATCCAGATTCCATTACCATTCTTGTTGGCTTAACTGATCTCAGATTCAGAGTATTAAAACTAATAATTAACAGCCAAAATTGCCCACATTAGTGGGAGTTGGGCTTGATTTTGGCCAGCTATTCAACTGCATGGACTTTTAAAATCAAAACTGACACTATTGCATACACACTTTTTACAAGCAGGGTGTTTTTTTTTTTTTTTTTAAAAAAAAAACACAAGAAACTGAAAACTACATGCAATGTCAACTTTTTGATGCTGTGGGAGTCAAATGCTTTCAAAATCAAGTCTGAATAGAACACTTGTTAATGTTGACTTTTCAGCAGCAAATCACACGCGAGTCAAGCTGTAAGAATGGTAGCCAATACTCATGAATTTTCTCAGGTTAATTGGGCAACTAATGCTGCTGGCACCCTCCCCTTCCATAAAATCATCAATGCCTAGGGTGACGAAAGAGGAAAGCAAGAGGAGAAAAAAAAAACTGTCCGTTTCACAGGTATCAGACACCCACCTGTCTATTTCATCGCGAGACACTACATTTCCTTTCTTCAAGGCTTTAATAGCAAACATTTTCTTTGTCGGTTTATGTTGAGCAAGCAACACCTAAGATAGAGCAAGTCAGTTAAAAGTACAGCAATTGAAAGCGAGTTCCCAATATCTTCAGGTATAAAAGAGGATGTTGGAGTGCTAACTTGTCTTAAATCACAGTTTTACACACATTGACACACTTTTAATAAGATGCATGGGAGCTATGAATAAGCTTCTCCTCTTGAATCTATGGACAAGAGCTCAGCTGTACTGTTTCTAAATGACCACAATCCACCCTGATTCAGACACAACACAAACCAAGCAATGAAATTGGGACCTTCTGGTCCATCTGGCTCAGATGCTTAATAGATAAACTTGTAACTGAGAGGAACCCAGAACTTTATTACACAAGTAACATTTGTTACTTTAGTGGACATTGATTTTGTACTTTTATCTGCTAGACAGCTCTGCTTTAGACTGGGTTTATACACCAGATACTTTACTTGGACTCCGTATCACAAGACCACTACAACCTCCTAATGTCTTAACTTCCTTAATATTTAGGCAAATAGTGAAACTTCAGGAGATTGATAAAGAATCCTTAAATGCTGTATTTTGCATTACTAGGTGGATGCCAAATACCAAAAAATGTTTTATTTAACTTTGTCAGCAAAGGAATAAAGGCCTTTAGTGTGTATCATTGCCTACAAAGTACTACACAGGTGAAGATTAACTACTGTTTATATTTAAAACCATTGAGGCAAACAATTTCAGAGTCAATAAAAAAAATGGCACTTTTCCTGCACCAATATTCAAATGTAAAACTCAACTGTGAAATGATCCTTTAGGTCAAATATGTTTGTTTGTTTCCAGTTTCTTTTGAAATTGGAAACTTGAAAAAGAAAATAAAAAGTTACTTCTAATTTTAAAAAAAATGCTATGGATTCTAATGAGTTTGGAAAAGTGTTTAGAAAATACCAAATACAAACTGTTAATCCCAGAGTCTGAACATTAAAAAATTAGCTATCTTGCCTGGCTTTCAGTAAGTCATTCTTCCCATAGTGCAGTGTGGTATGTGAAGCAGGAGAGCAGAACAAGGGCATGTTATTTGTTAAAGAGGGGCTTTTAAAACTGAATACAAGACAAAAATAGTCAAGAAAATAACTGCTATAAGATGGTTAAAGGACAGACGTTTGGGAGAGTAAAAAGACAATAATTCTTGTTGTTATCAGCCAAGGAAAGCATAGAAGAGTTTGTCCAAATCAAGCAAGAGAACCCTTGTCAGAAAATCACATACAACTTATCTCTAACAGAATATTCAACATAGTATGTTTAAGATGCATAATAAACAAGTGTTCAATGTGCTGAGGAATGAAACTACTTAATTTAGGATAAGCTACATCACAGTTAGTGTTAAATATTTCCAAAAGGTGGTTAATTTAGGAAATACATGGATAAAATGATAAAGACACAGTGCATATTTTATGGGCTTCGCTACCACACAGGTAGATACAGGGCATTATGAGTCATTTCCCATTAAAGTAAGATGCTCAGTCCATGGATGCAAAGAGGTATTAATACTAGACAAACCTATAAACAGACAACAATAGGACAATCACAGATTCCTGTTGGCCATCTCAGAAATATAGCCAGATAACCTTCTTAATATACTCCAGAACCAAAAAAAAAAAAAAAAAAATAAAAATAAAAAAAAAAAAAAATTGTCCATCTCTGGGTTGTCAGATACTTTCAAGAAATAAAATAAAATTACAAATGTCAAATACTAAAAATATTTGCTAGTAAGGGAAAATGCATTAAATCTCAAAGCCTGGAAACTTATCCAGCCATTTACAAGGAATGGTATCACAATAGTACTTAGGATCCTACAGTTAACGGACATCAGCAAATTAAACAATTTTTTGTACCACAGACTAAAACTATTAGTTGCCTAGAGCACAAGTACAAATATGCAAATCCCATTCACATTACTGAGGCTTTGAAAAGTTGTTTTGAATACAAGGTGTACACTATCTGCTACTTACAGAAGCAACTATACCGTAATAAAGTTTATACAGCAGATGCCAAGTAGGAAGACAAAAAAAAAATGACTGAGAAATGAAACACCATAAAAGCTCCCAATCACCTCACATACCTTTCCAAAGTGACCTCGTCCCAGCAAAGCAACACAATTGAAGTCTTCGAGATGCAAGGTCTGCTTTCTGCATGGAGATATTGGAATATTAATTCTAATAATTATTGCAACAATAGCCAACTAAATTTTAACAAACTGCTAAGAAACACTCAAGAAGCCAATTACCACATGAACAGAAAAGCAGGAGGTTAATATTGCATTTATTTCTCACGAAGAATTTTATTCAGAACATCACCTATGTTTTCTCCACCAGCAAAGTGAAACAGCCTGAAAGTACTAATGGTTTGGCTACTATACTAAGAACGATCACTTGGACAAGGTAGCAAAGCAGAGCAGACAGTTATGTAATCATACCTCAATACATGTAAGAGCTGTCATGAAAACTAAAGCCAAACAAAAATCAAATATTGGCAAAAAGAGGCTGGAATCTGAATTTAAGCCCTAGAGGTAATAAAGTATAGAGGAGCAATTCTGCATCTACCCAAGAAAAATCAGCATTTAAAATTGACCAAATGAAGATTCATCATAGGATGAAATAGGAACAAAATCCAGACTAATGAAATCTCACCAACAGCGCTAAAATAAAGTCCATAATCTTTTAAATTGACCTACTTAAAGCGGTCTACTTGCTCAGTCATGCAAACATTGCTAATAGTCAGTCCTTACCTGGGTGTAACCTCAGTTAGGTTTAGAATCTCTGGGGCTTGGTTAGCCTGTGGATTTACCTCTGTACTGCTTCCAATTACACTCTATTAAAATAAAACCAACACAAAATAATTAATCTGAAGAACAAAAGTTGTTGTAGAGAAGCAAATTAACAAGATATGGTCTTACTCAAGTAAATATCCCAATGTACTTACAAATAACAAAATACTTTGAAATTGAGTCACTTAGGAAGACCAGGTCAATGGTTGATTTATAGCTAACAAGATGAAATTGACTGATTAGTATATTTTTAAGAGTGATCAGTTACCTAAGCAATACTGAGCAGGAAGTTTTCCTGATATCCTAGTCAACATGCACCTGTATTGTAGCAAGTTAGTGTGTGGACGCAACTGAAATCTTCCACTTTAAATTATTTCAATGCATGTACTGTATATCACAGCAATTCCATTATGAGCGGGCACTTTTTCCCCCTACTTTTACAAGAGAAGCTAAAAGCCAAATGTTTAGTTTAAAATCAATTAAACAAGTGTCCCTCCACAGTGTTTCATTTCTAATAACTACCATAATTTACCTGGCTGCCAGCAAGCGGAAGTATCCTTTCTTCTGAGGCGGAATTTATAAAAAGCCGAGGTGGCTTGGGAGGCGGCGGCGGCTCTGGGCTGAAGTTTAGGTTGATAGGTGTAAAGGCCCTATACATACACACACACAGAGACACATACACAATTAAATAATGAAGACTAAAGAAAAAAAGACAAACAAGATCCTAAGTGGAAGATTGCACATTTACAATTTCTTAGAAGATTTGAGTTTAAAAAGGTGCATTTTTTTGAAAGTGCAAATATAAATTACTACTCCTGGTTATTTTGTTTTAGCAATTTTCATCTTAACCAGCAATACTTTAGTATTTATTTCCCATCCAGAAAATTGTGCCCTCCTTGAGCAAAGCCAAGTGGCTTGTCAGGCCAGTTCAGAAGTCAAAAGAAGAGTCAACCACATTGCTGCAGATTTGGAATCATATAAACTAAACTGATAAGAATGGCATTTTCCTACTCAAGGAAACATTTGTGAACCAGATGGTGTTTTAAATAATAATCCTGAAATCTTAAAAATTTATCATTACTGTTATTAGCTTTTCACTCCAGATTTATTCAGTTTTTCAAATTTATATTCTCCAACTGCTGAGGTGTGATTTGAACTCATGTCTCTAGATCACTAGGCCAGGCGTCTACATTACATGATAAAATTAGAACTAGGGACAGGAGTAGGCAATTAAGCTCCTTGAGCCTTCTCTTGCTATTCAAGATGGTCATGGCTAATCTCATCTCAGCCTGAACTCCAATTTTGCTGGAGTTCAACTCATCACTAATTAAAAAGCCGTCCATCTAATCCCCTTCTCAAATTTACTAAGTGTCCCGGCATCCCACTGCACTCTTGGGTAGCCAATTCCACGGATTCACAACACAGAGAAATAAAGCCGCCTCATTTATTTTAGATACGCTACTCCTTATCCTAAAACCATGACCTATCATTCTAGATTGCCCCACAAGAGGAATCATCCACTCTGTCTATTTTGTCAATCCTCTTTAATATCTAGTATACCTCAATTCTATCTTCTCTCATTCTACTAAACTGCTCAAATTTCTTCATAAAACAAACCCCTTACATCTGGAATCAACTTAAATGAACCTCCTCTGAACTGCCTCCAATACAGTGGACGCAATCTTACTTACACCTTCGCACAGTTGCAGGAACACTTCCCTACATGTATACTCTATTCCTTTAGCAATAAATGTCAAATTTCCATTTGGCTTCTTTATTGCTTGCTGTACCTGCATACTAGTTTTCTGCAATTCATGCATAATGACACCCAGATCCCTCTGCACCCAAGCACTCCGAAGTTTCTAATTAATAATTCAGCAATGAGTGGGTTACCTTTGACCAGAAATTCAACTGGAACAGCCATATAAATATTGCAGCTAAAAGAGCAGGTCAGAGGCTGGGTATTCTCAGGCAGGCAATTGTCCCAACCCCGTCCATATACAAAGGGACAAGTCAGGAGTGAGGGATGTAGAATTGGGTCAATACTCGGTGGTTTCAACTTTCCTTAATTGAACAGATCCTTCATTTCATATTCAGTATCAATGACAAACAGACAAACACACAGTCTTTCATTTAAGGCGGAAGACTACTGATCACTTAGAGTCATAGAATTATACAGCACTGAAGGAGACCACTCAGACTAATCAGTTCCTGCCAACCATAACAAAGAACAAAGAACAAAAGAAAATTACAGCACAGGAACAGGCCCTTTGGCCCTCCAAGCCTGCGCCAATCCAGATCCTCTATCTGAACCAGTCACCTATTTTCCAAGGATCTGTATCCCTCTGCTCCCTGCCCATCCATGTATCTGTCTAGATACATCTTAAATGACGCTATCGTGCCCGCCTCTACCACCTCCACTGGCTACGCATTCCAGGCACCCACCACCTTCTGCATAAAGAACTTTCATCGCATATCTCCCTGAAGCTTTTCCCCCCTCTCACCTTGAAATCATGACCCCTAGTAATTGAGTCCCCCACTCTGGGGGAAAAAGCTTCTTGCTATCCACCCTGTCTATACCTCTCATGATTTTGTAGACCTCAATCAAGTCCCCCCTCAACCTCCGTCTTTCTAATGTAAATAATCCTAATCTACTCAACCTCTCTTCATAGCTAGCACCCTCCAAACCAGGCAACATCCTGGTGAACCTCCTCTGCACCTTCTCCAAAGCATCCACATCCTTTTGGTAATGTGGCGACCAGAACTGTACGCAGTATTCCAAATGTGGTCGAACCAAAGTCCTATACAACTGTAACATGACTTGCCAACTCTTGTACTCAATGCCCCATCCAATGAATGAAAGCATGCCGAAAGCCTTCTTGACCACTCTATCCACTGGTGTTGCCATCTTCAGGGTACAATGGACCTGAACACCCAGATCTCTCTGTGCATCAATTTTCCCCAGGGCTTTTCCATTTACCGTATAGTTTGCTCTTGAATTGGATCTTCCAAAATGCATCACCTCACATTTGCCTGGATTGAACTCCATCTGCCATTTCTCCACCCAACTCTCCAATCTATCTATATTGTGCTGCATTCTCCGACAGTCCCCTTCACTATCTGCTACTCCACTAATCTTAGTGTCATCTGCAAACTTGTTAAATCAGCCCATCTATACCTTCCTCCAGATCATTTACGTACATCACAAACAACAGTGGTCCCAACACGGATTCCTGTGGAACACCACTGGTCACAGTTCTCCATTGAGAAACTCGCTTCCACTACAACTCTGTCTCCTGTTGCCCAGCCAGTTCTCTATCACCCCAGACCCCATGCGACTTCACTTTCTCCATCAGCCTACCATGGGGCACCCTTCAAACGCCTTACTCAAGTCCATATATATGACATCCACAGCCCTTCCCTCATCTATCAGCCTTGTCACCTCCTCAAAGAATTCTAGCAAGTTGGTAAGACATGACCTTCCCTGCACAAAACCATGCTGCCTATCACTAATAAGCCCATTTTCTTCCAAATGTAAATAGATCCTATCCTTCAGTATCTTCTCCAGCAGCTTCCCCACCACTGACATCAGGCTCACCGGTCTGTAATTACCTGGATTATCCTTGCTACCCTTCTTAAACAAGGGGACAACATTAGCAATTCTCCAGTCCTCCGGGACCTCACCCGTGCTCAAGGATGCTGCAAAGATATCTGTTAAGGACCCAGCTATTTCCTCTCTCGCTTCCCTCAGTAACCTGGGGACTTGTCCACCCTAATGCCTTTTAGAATACCCAACACTTCTCCCCTCCTTATGCCGACTTGACCTAGAGTAATCAAACATCTATTCCTAACCTCAAAATCTGTCATGTCCCGCTCCTCGGTGAATACCGATGCAAAGTACTCATTAAGAATCTCACTCATTTTCTCTGACTCCTCGCATAACTTCCCTCCTTTGTCCTGGAGTGGGCCAACCCTTTCTCTAGTTACCCTCTTGCTTCTCATGTACGAATAAAAGGCTTTGGGATTTTCCTTAACCTTGTTTGCTAAAGATATTTCATGACCCCTTTTAGCCCTCTTAATTTCTCATTTCAGATTGGTCCTACTTTCCCGATATTCTTTCAAAGCTTCATCTGTTTTCAGTCGCCTAGACCTTATGAATGCTTCCTTTTTCCTCTTTGTTAGTCTCACAATTTCACCGGTCATCCATAGTTCCCTAATCTTGTCCCTGTGAAAATGAGGGTAGAAAGGGCATGTCTGTCCTACACTCTAATCAACCTCTCTTTAAAAGCCTCCCACATATCAAATGTGGATTTACCCTCAAACAGCTGCTCCCAATCCACATTCCCCAGCTCCTGCTCAATTTTGCTATAGTTGGCCTTTCCCCCAATTCAGCACTCTTCCTTTAGGAAGACTCTCATCTTTGTCCGTGAGTATTCCAAAACTTACGGAATTGTGATCACTATTCCCAAAGTAATCCCCTACTGAAACTTCAACCACCTGGCCGGGCTCATTCCCCAACACCAGGTCCAGTGTGGGCCCTTCCCTAGTTGGGCTATTTACATATTGCTCCAAAAAACCCTCCTGGATGCTCCTTACAAATTCTGCTCCAACTAAACCCCTAACACTAAGTGAATCCCAGTCAATGTTGGGAAAATTCCATCACCCACCACCCTGTTGCTCCTACACCTTTCCATAATCTGTCTACATATTTGTACCACTATCTCACGCTCGCTATTGGGAGGCCTGTAGTACAGCCCCAGCATCGTTACCGCACCCTTCCTATTTGAGCTCTGCCCATATTGCCTCACTGCTCGAGTCCTCCACAGTGCCCTCCTTCAGCACAGCTGTGATATCCTCTTTGACCAGTAATGCAACTCCTCCACCCCTTTTACCTTCCTCTCTATCCCGCCTGAAGCATTTTTATCTTGGGATATTTAGTTGCCAATCTTGCCCTTCCCTCAACCAAGTCTCAGTAATAGCATTATCATCATACTCCCAGGTACTAATTCAAGCCCTAAGTTCATCTGTCTTACCTACTACACTTCTCGCATTAAAACAAATGCGCCTCAGACTACCTGTGCCTTTGCGTTCATCATCTGCTCTCTGCCTACTCTTTCCCCTTAGTCACACAGACTTAGTTATCTAGTTTCTTACAGGCTTTAGTTACTACCTCCTTACTGTCCACTAACCTGGATGATAATGGAATAGTTTAGGTTAGATGGGCTTCAGATTGGCCCTCGATGTTGCGCCGACCTGTGAAACCAAAGGGCCTGTACTGCGCTGTTATGTTCTATGGTCTATGTTCTATGTAACCTCCTCATTTGGTTCCCATCCCCTTGCCACATTAGTTTAAACCCTCCCCAACGGCATTAGCAAAAGCACCCCCTAGGACATTGGTTCCAGTCCTGCCCAGGTGTAGACCATCCGATTTGTAATAGACCCACCTCCCCCAGAACCGGTCCCAATGTCCCAAAAATCTGAACCCCTCCCTCCTGCACCATCTCTCAAGCCACTCATTTATCCTTCCTATTCTTTCATTTCTTCTCTGACTAGCATGTGGCACTGGTAGCAATCCTGAGATTACTACCTCCAAGGTCCTACTTTTTAAACTTGTCTCCTAACTCCCTAAATTCTGCTTGTAGGACCCAAACTAAACTAGATCCACCTGCATTTGGCCTGTATCCCTCCAAATATTTCCTAGTCATGTAATCATCTGTCTTTTAAATGTTGTAACTGTAGCCACATTCACCACTTCCTGAGAAAGTTCATTCCACACACGAACCATTCTGTCAAAAAATTGCCCCTCAAGTCTTTTTTAAAATCTTTCTCCTCGCACCTTAAATTTATTGCCCCTATTCTTGAAATCCTCCACACTAGGGAAGAGACATCTGCCCAGACACCTTTTCTATACTCCCTCATTATTTTATAAACCTCCAAAGTCACCTCTCAACGTCCTAGGCTCCAGTGAAAAAAGTCCCAGCCTATCCAACCTCTCCTGAAAATTCAAACCCTCCATTCCTGGCAACATCCTAGTAAATCTCTTCTGAACCCTCTCCAGCTTAATAATATCCTTCCTATAACAGGGAGACCAGAACTGGACTCAGTACTCCAGAAAAGGCCTTACCAACGTCCTGTAGAACCTCAGCATAATGTCCCAACTCCTATATTCAAAGGTCTGAGCAATAAAGACAAACATGCTAAATGCCTTCTTAAACACCTATGTATGGTTGAATCTTAACTGCACTCTGGGCATTTAGGGATGAACAATAAATGCTGGCCTAGCCAGTGACACCCTCATCTCATGAACTAAAAAGAAATCACTGCTCCTGGAGTTATCCCCTACTAACCTTTTATCCACTTCATTCCCCAAAGCAGACCCAGTATTGTTTCAGGAAACGAGCCAATAAGAAACAGCTCCTAAATACATCTTAGAAAATGTCTCCCCTTTTCCTTTATGCTACCAATGTACTTCTCAGTCTACAGAAGTACTGAG